CACTTGTATATGCTTGCTTGGAAGATAATCCATTTGAACTGCAAAATGCCTTAAAAATGTTTAAAACAAGATGTACAAACAAGGTGGAACAGTACATTGTATGTTTCTAGTAGCCTAATAAAAAAAATTTGGATACATTTTTCATCTGTATTTGCTAGTTTAAAATTATTAATAATATATGAAGTATAAATAATATACAGACCCTCCTCTAGTTACGAACTTTCAACTTACAAACTTTCAGACATATGAATGAAGAGGACTGTATTTCCAAATTGTGTTCATTGGGCTCCCGTTTCCTGTCCACAACATCAATTTTGTTTTTCTGCACGCCAATTCCGCGTAGTACTACTCCTGGCCGCTACTCCCGCTGTGCAGCAGCGTAGCGTGCGTACTCCCAGCATCCTAGTACTTAGTACTTGCATATACCCTTAAATTGATGTTGAATAACGTCTTACGAACATTTCAAGTTCTAAACGGCCGTTTGGAATGTATCTCGTTTGTAAGTTGAGGAGCGTCTGTATATATAAGTATCAGAATCTGTATTGGTATCAGCAGTTGCGTATCGAAATCGGATTAGAACTGAGAAAATGTGGATTGGCCTCCCTATCCCTAGGAAAAAGGTCTGATAAAATTGACACATATTAAGATGCACCCAGGCTGCCTAGAGGGGTTCACCTGGCTTATCAGAACACAAATAACTACAAATGGCGTCTTCTTCAGATACACTTCCCTTTTTCTGAGGGCATCGCAGGCAGTCCACAGACATAAAGAAGGACTTTATGAGATTCGTTTCTTCTTTGGCACTACAGCAGCGTAGGTCACATCAGAGTGGGGACATTCTGAGGAGGGAAAGATCATGGTCTATGAAAGCAGGTTTTATAGGACACCTTGTGAACTCCAGTTAACAGGCAATCCATCTGTCTCTGTCATAGAGCTCATCATTTTTTGTCCTTCCATCCATCCATCCATCCATCCATTCTCTGCCGCTTATCCAGGTCCAGGTCGTGGCCTCAGCAGTCCCAAATGCCCAGACCTCTCATTCCCCAGCCACCTCATCGAGCTCCGCTGGGGGGAATCTGAGATGTTCCCAAACCAGCCAAGAGACATAATCTTCCCAGCATGTCCTCAAAGTGCTCCTTTCTCTACCGACTATATTCCCAGTTCAATAGCATTCCATCCCTGCTGTAAACAGCATGGGCAAAGCCCTGCCTCCCTCTCCTGAGTTCCCCATGGGTATCTCTTTGAAGCCGACCCAAAGCCATTCTCCACAGCTAAACTCCCCTCTTCACACGGGTGTCCAAGCCAAACAGTCACAGATATGATGATTTCCTCCCAATGACACTCTTCCAGCTTTCAATTTTTACTTTATGTTTTACTTACATGATAAAAGATGGCTCTTACCCTGTCTGTCCTGTAGATTGACTGAGCTGTATGTCATTTCATCCCCGGGGTCTACAGAGGGCTGGAGAAGGAACATCCACTTTAAATGGACACTATAATGATGTACCATTACTGTTACACTGTGTAATTACAGAGAGGACACACTCTGTAAATGGATACTGTAATCATATACCATTACTATTACACTATATAGCTACAAAGAGGACAGACACTGTAAATGGATACTGTAATCATATACCATTACTATTGCACTATATAACTACAAAAAGGACACATACTGTAAATGGATACTGTAATCATATACCATTACTGTTACACTGTATAACTACAAAAAGGACACACACTGTAAATGGATACTGTAACCAAGGTTCCCCATACAATCTGGCTTCAGAATATGTCATAGGGAAACATTTTACTCAACTCACAGGTTGTGCTGATGGTTTCTTAAAGGCCATGGTGCTGTAGATCAGCTCATCTCCAGGCTCTGTGTTTTGCTGAGATGAAACAAGCACATGAATCAGCATTTAGCCTTTTCCTAATAAATTTCATCCATGATTAACTCTCTCAACTGTCATTTTTGATGCTTTTTCGGTCAAAACTGACTCAACAGAGGGTGCGTACATTGTGTAACTTATTTCCAAACTAATGTGAGAGTCAAAATAGGATATTATTGCAGTTTGATGACCCCTAAAAATGCGACCACCACACAGAGCAGATGGACACTCACAGGGTGGCTGGGTCTGTTTCTGTTACTGATCGGCGTTTCTGCAGAGACATGATGGTAAAGCTGCAATTCATTCACATCTCAATACAACCTATGAGAACTAGAAGTGTTATATGATAAATCAAATAATTAATTAAAAGGAAAATAATCGATAAATAATGTGGTTCAAATTCTGGACAACTGGTTTAATTATGTTGAAGTTATTTTTCTCACTGGTTCTTCTTCGCAGAATCCAGATAACCATGACAGTGGTCACCAGCAACAGAATCATCACCAACGTCAGCAGAAGGAGCATCTCACTGGAGAAGAACAAGCGAAGGAAAGTGAAGGTTTAAGACATGCAGGGTTTCATGCATGATCCATGATGGGTTTTTACTTATCTAACTTTGAATCTTGAATGCACACTTTTTAAATGAGTTTACAGAGAAAGAAATGGGTTTGGCAGTTTACCTTGGCGACTGTGTGGTGTTCAGATTCTCATTAGTGGTGGAAGTCAGGGCACCAGAGGGATACATGGTCACAGCCCTTCCTGTTGGGTGTTTTGTTGCTGAAGTGAAACCGTCTCTCTGCTGTGTAGATGAAGTAAAACTTTCTGTCTGCTGTAAAGCTGTAGTCAACTCTCCCTGTTTGGGTGAAACTGCTGTTGCTGTGCAGGACCAGGTCAAGACAGCAGTCAAAACATTTTAAATAACTTAAACCATATTCATCCAATTCCATAATAATTCTGTCCATAGCATGTATCATAACAACAACAACAACAACAACAATAATAATAATAATTATAATAATAATAATAATAATAATAATAATAATAATAATAACAATAATAATAATAATAAAAACAACCAAATAATAGAATGCATCTATTTAAATACATGTAACACACAGAGGAGTTCATTTAACCTACAGTCTGATGCTATGAGCATCAGACTAATTTAATAATTCACCTTCCATGACAATCAGCTGTAGATAGACACCATCATCTGCTGCCCCATGAATCTCCACAGTACACCAGTAAGTGTCAGAGTCATTTTCCTGCAGGTTCCTCATGATTACATAAAAGACCAGGTGGGCGGGGTCATCACTGATTGACACTTTCCCTGCTGTCTGATTGGAGTCAGAACGTGCCAATGAGGAGCAGGAATTCCAGTTAGACCCTCTACACCAGTACTTCACATGGTGTTTATACTTCTGATCATAGTAACATGGGATGGTGACAGATCCTCCTCTCTCTGCAGATACCCAGCTTACAGTCCTCACACTCTGAGCATCTGTGTGAATAGGAGAGAAATGAAGTACCGTTTGCTTATTTTAGTATTCAAATGCTGTACATTCCAACCCTGGCAAGAAAATGTGTGAAATTTCTTAAAACATCTTACCTTTAACCTCTATTACCAGATCCTGAGAGTCATCCATCTCACCAAGGCCACCAATCTCTACAGCACACCAGTAGATAGCAGTGTCACTACTTGTCTTCAGGTTCCTCATGATCACATGGAAAACAAGCTGGGCAGGATAATCAGTGATTGACACTTTCCTGGAGCTCTGTGGTGAGTCTGTGCGTGCCATGATTGTACAGGAGGACCATAATTGCCCTTTACACCAGTATTTCACATGGTCTTTATACTTCTGATCATAGAAACATGGGATGGTGAGAGATTCTCCACTCTCTGTAGTTAAATGCCTGAATGTCCTCACACTGTCAGCACCTACAGGGACATCATGGAAATCATTGTTTACCAACTGGTCGATTGCCAAGACATTCCTAGTTGATCACAACATCGTTTTCCACTGAAGACCCCTCCCACTCTCAATGTGCAAAGTCAACCATTATAACTCACTAACTCCCCTGATTGTTTTCTTTGTAACAGTAGCTCGCAGTGTAAAACTGGTTGGAGACCAAGGGTGTAAATGGCACACGGAGCAATTCACTGTCATGGGCACAGGATTGGTGTCATGGGGGGCATTCATGGGCTATAGCCCGTCCTCCCCAAATGCCCCCCACCAAGATTCTGTCTCTTCTAATATTGTAAAATATCTCTTACTGAGATTTGTGGGCTACACCTTCATGATGTTAATCTCCTGTTCCACCACATCCCATAACTGCTCCATTGGATCGAGATCTGGCAACTATGGAGGCCATTTGAGGACAGTGAAGTCATTGTCATGTTTAGGAATCAGCCTGAGATGATATGAGCTTTGTGACATGGTGTGTTATCCTCTTAGAAGTAGCTATTACAAGCTGGGTACACTATGGACACAAAGGGATGGACATGGTCAGCAATAATACTCAGGAAGACTGTGGCATTTAAATGATGCTCAATTGGTACCAAGTGGCCCAATCTGTGCAATGAAAATATCCGCCACACCATTGGACCATCAGCACCAGCCTTAATTGTTGATACAAGGCAAGATGGATCCATCCTTTCATATTGTTTACAGCAAATTCTGACTACCATCTGAATGTCGTAGCAGAAATCGAGACTCATTTGACAAGCAAATTGTTCTTCCAATGTTCTATTTTGGTGAGCCCGTGACCTCTGTAGCCTTGGTTTCCAGTTCTTAGCTGACAGGAATGGCACCTGGTGTGGTCTTCTGCTGCTGTAGCCCAATTGCTTCAAGGTTCAAGGTGTTTTGCCTTCAGAGATGCTCTTTTGCATGCCTTGGCTGTAAAAAGTGGTTGAATTACTGTTGCCTTTTTATCAGGTTGAACCAATCTGGCCATTTTTCTCTGACCTCTGCCATCAACAAGTCATTTTTGTCCAGAGAACCGCCGCTCACTGGATGATTTTTCTTTTTCAACCCATTATCTGTAAACCCTTGAGATGGTTGTGTTGCAAATCTCAATAGATCAGCAGTTTCTCAAACACTCAAACCAGCAACAACTCAACACTCAAGCTGGCTGACAGCAACAACCATACCATCTTCAAAGTTACATAATGCAGCTTTCTTCCTCATTCTGGTGTTTGATGTGAACATTAACTGAAGCTGCTGACCAGTATCTGTGTGTTTTTATACATTGCATACATGTTAAACATTGTGCTGCTCACTTGATTGGCTGATTAGAAAATTTCTTCAAC